TCAACTCTCCAACGAAATTCTTACTTTTTTTTTATTATATATATATATATATATATGTAACGATGAGTCCAAGCCATCACCGTTAAAGTAGGAGTGTATCGACAGTAGAAAGGGCAAAACTAATTACCAAGCTCCGCTATATAAACCGCAACATTTCCTCATAGAGGCAGAATCGACAGGTGTTGACTGAAGGTTCTCTTCTTCCCTACCCCGGCTTGTGGACGTGTTGAGTTCACAAGTTGTTCCGTTCCATACCGCCGTTACCCGAAGAGCGTGTTGAGCTCTTCATTACCCGTACTCTGAAGCAGTCGTGTTGAGACTGTCGAGGAGTGTCCTATTAACCCGAATCACTTAAGGAACGTGTTGAGTTTCTTTCCTTTCTTTGTACCTATCGTCCGCTGTTATTAAATCGATACAACGTTCTCGTAAAATTTCAAATACACACTCGCTTGCCGATAAGACTAATTTCATATGACAAGGTCAAACTTAATTTGAATAAATAGGCCAGGTACTGAGAAGACTAAGCCAAATTGTAAATATGAACATAAGATTTTTGTCAATTTAATTTAAGGAAGACAATAAAGTTTTATTTTTATTTTGAACTCTGTCTCTGACTGTCCAAAAGCTACCCGGATAGTGACTCCTACGAGAGGACATCACATATATATATATATATATATATATATATATATATATATATATATATATATATATATATATAGTTATTATTTTTTTGGATCTCGATCTCCTCTTTTCTTGCCTTTTGGTACTTCCTCTACATGAATGGTATTTGCAACTCTGGTTACGCACGGTGCTGATAGACCCATAGTTAAGGTAAAAAATGTTTGACAAACTCTTAATGGATGTTTGGAATTGCTTTTTTTTTAAGTAGTATGTTACTGCTAACTTACGAGATTTTAAATTCTTTGATTTTCTTGGGGGGGGGGGGACTTCCAATGAAACACCAACCAAAAGACATAAAAATAAACTCAAACTACATAACAGACATAAATAATGGGTGTTCTTTAAATTTGGACAATCTTGAGGAAGGCGGGAAATTTCTCTTTTTTCACCCACCGGGTATCCGCTCCTGGTATAGGCAATATAGGCAAATAACTTAACACCAACCAAAAGACATAAAAAAGATAAACTCAAACTACATAACAGACATAAATAATGGGTTTTCTTTAAATTTGGACAATCTTGAGGAAGGCGGGAAATTTCTCTTTTTTCACCCACCGGGTATCCGCTCCTGATATAGGCAATATAGGCAAATAACTTAACACCAACCAAAAGACATAAAAAAGGTAAACTCAAACTACATAACAGACATAAATAATGGGTTTTCTTTAAATTTGGACAATCTTGAGGAAGGCGGGAAATTTCTCTTTTTTCACCCACCGGGTATCCGCTCCTGATATGTATAGGCAATATAGGCAAATAACTTTATAAATATTATTTATACGAAGTGAATTAATTTAATAGACAAAATTGTTCTGAAGATATTTTCTTATTGCATCTTATAATAATTACTATTTTAATGGGAATAAGCCACAATTAAAATTTAAAATAAGTTTATTGACGTTTCAATTTCCACTTCGGAAATTGTTCTCAAAATACAAACATTAATAAATTAAACAAATTTTGTTTTTTTTTTTAATGGTAAGTATTTGGTCTTTGACGCAATTGGCCTCATTTAGCATAATTAGAGCCGATTCTTTGATTTTTTCTATTTTAACACCTGTTTCTTTTAGGACTATACTTAAATCGTTCCATTAAACCCTATATTCATTTTCCCATTCGTGTTTACATATTTGAGATCTGTCAAATTCTCTATTTTTAGTATAAGATTGATGTTCACTTATTCTAATATTTAATGGTCTTGAAGTTTTACCTAAATAAAAATGACTGCATTCACAAGGTATTTTATAAATACAATTATTTGTTCTTTCTTGTTCATTGTTAGGTTTAGCTTAGATAAAATACAGCTCAATGGGTTTGTTGTTTTGAATGTTGTTGAAATGTTGAATTTATTTCCTATTGTTTTAAGTTTTTCTGATAATTCTTTTATGTATTAGAACAAGTAATTTTCGTTCTATCGCATTACAAGTTAATGATTCTCTTTTTAACATTGATATTGTGATTTGATTTTTAATTCAGATATCTGTTGGGTTTTCTTTACACCTGCGTTTCATATCCAGAATCGTTCTTAGAGATTAAAATATCCAGAAAAGGTAGTGTGTTGTTATATTTCTTTTCCATGGTAAATGTTATTGTCTCTTCTTTATCGTTTATTTCATTTAGGAATGTGTCCAACAACTCTGATACATAAGGCCATATTGAAAACACGTTATCTAAATACATATCTCCACCACACCGTGGGTTTTAAATTTTGTTTAGAAATAATATTAGTTTCAAAATCTTCCATAAATATAACGGCTAATAGTGAAGATAAACTGGACCAAAATTTGTTAATAAAATTATTTAGTTGAAAATAGGTATTATTAGTACACAATGTCAATAACTCTATTATAGACGAAATATTTAATCTTGTTCTAGTTGCCAATGTATCATCATTCTCTAATTTTGTTTTGATTATACTTATTTTAAAGTGTCATCTAATGACACATTTGTAAATAAACTATTTATGTCAAACTTACTAAAGTATTATTTGAATTAAATTCAACATTTGATCATTTATTAAAAAAAATTGTGTAATTTTTATAAATGTGTCATTTTTATTTGTAAATGGTTGTATAATATTTAATAAAAATTTTGATAGTTCACTACAAGGAAAATGCATGGTGCTACAAATGGGTCTAAGTGGTATATTCGTTTTATGAACTATCGATACTCCATAATGCATTATATGCTATAATTTTTTCTGACGGATATTTTCAAGTTAAAGTTGCTTTCATGTAATCGAATGAAATATCTCACAAGTAAAGTCGTCCTAGGAACTCAACTAGAGCAATATTAGCAATATTATTGTAAAGTCTTCTACTTTAAAATGTGTAATATGTCTGAATTAAATTTAAGTTTAAAACTTTTCAGCATGTTTGGCGACACGGTTGCCAATTGTTTTTTACTTGGTAAATTAAAGAAATGAACGTGATTTCATTTGTTTACTATTATTGCCTAAGTATTTAGTTCAGTGCAGTGCCACGCTGTTTCATATGGGTTATTTCCTTTTTATATGGATTTTTTAATAATCTTGATTTTTTTATATACAATCTAAAAGTGTGTATGTTAAGTACTACGTTCAGTTAATTTATAGGTATTTCTTTTATTAGATAGCAAGTTATAATACTGATAATATTATGATAATTATGCTATTACTGAGGTAACGTCAAAGTTCACATCTCAGCTTTATCCAAATTTTAAAAATACTTCATCTAATATTAGGAATATTTGTTTAATACCTGATTTATATAAATTTACATTTTTGTTTGTTGCTATTTATTTATTTATTTATAAAATTGTTAATTTGTAGCAATTATTTGTTCAATACCCTCTCATAATCTTTCGGTAAAAAGTAGAAAGGTAAATCTAACGAGAATTTAGAGCGGCAATATAAAATAAATGTGTATGTTTCTCCTTCTTTTTGAGTATATATGCGTTTTGTTTTTTTTTACAAAGATTTACCCTATTTGTCAATTTTTTTAAATCTCTCTTAAACCAATTTTCTGATAGGACAAGTGTCGAGTTTGCCTCGTCCCTCGATAAAGGACAAGGTGACGCCCATTATTTCCCCCTTTGCCTTTTTACTTAATATACCCCTATCACAGATCTATAGACCTACGTCCCAAAGCTCACCGTTATGTCCTTCAAAGCACTTGAGCTCTGGTTTGCAAGGTGAACATACATGCACCTAGATTTCCTATTTTCTTCTACTCTTCCACTTCCCATCCAGAAAAGTATTGTTATTTCTATATAACTTCTCATAATAGGTGGTCTGATAAATAAGCTCCTTTGAAATGAAAATTGATTTTCTAGAAAAGTTTTTTATGTTATTCGATTTTGTCTCGTGTATGCTATAGACTCAATTTAACGATTTCAGAGATATTCCAACTTCTTTATTCCGTCCGACTATTCTGGAATCTGCAAAATAGTTGTTTTTTAGTTTAATCACCTCTTCTGTCGAGCTGAATTTTTTTTATTTTCAAGCCATCTTTTTAGATTTGGGTATACATAATATTCTAAGGGAACCAAGTCCGGAACAGAAGTCGAGAAAGGCACAACGCTTTATTGAGCCAGTGCATTATATTTGAGTAACAACATTTATTCTTCTGCATAGGCTGTTTCTCACTTTGATATTGCTACTTCAGTTTCTCCAATAATGCACAAATATCTTGGTCGTTGATAGTTTTAACGTTTTTAAGATAACCAATTAAAATTATGCCTTTCCAATCCCAAAATACAGTGTCCCTAATCTTCCCGAACCATTGAGCCACTCTTTATCGCTTCTGAGCGCTTTTACCGGCTTTAATCCACTGTTGTGTGTTCATTATCTTCTCTGGAATATAGCTGTGGATCCAAGTTTTATCAACGGTTACCAATCGACATCAAAAGTCCAACAGATAACTTTTCATAAGCCCCAAACACTGCTAAGAAGAGGTCACATACTCATGCTTTGGGTCATCGATCAGATAACCTTCTCATACTCAAAACTTCGTTTAAAATATGACACCGTACCAAAATTTGAACTTTTTTTGTTTTTCCTTGTCCAGTTGATTTCTCAAATAATAATGTTTAATTATATATATCGAAAATCGTTTTTAGCCACATGCGTCATTTTTCAAAACACGTCACTTACTAAAATTTAACTTCGATATAAATGGGACTTCACCTCCCAGGTTAAAGCACTTCGGCATACGGTAGAATTTCAAGTTAAAGATAAATAGAGGTTAATTCTAGTTATTAAAAACCTTGGTACACTGCACTTATTAATATAGCAAGCATTATATTTTAAGAAAAATCATTTACTTCTTTTATTTTAGTTTAACCTACAGGGACAATCTTTATGGTTGTATAGATGGTGATGACTTCAAGTTGAACTTCTTTCAAAAGAATAATATCAGCGACTCATGTAACTGGAAATTGCTCGGTGACATGAGAAAATCTGATGCCAAGTTTGATCACTTTCTGAAATCAAAATTGACAATTATCACAGACGATCCAGACAAAAGCTATCCTGACATAAACAAAGTTTGGAAATGTTTTCAGGGGATTTTCAAATCGATTATGGGTAAGTAGTTGATGTGTATCTAATCAACTGACAATGTGGTGACAATTTTTAGAGGTTAGGTGAAAGTTTTATTTTCAGAACCGAATTTTTTTTGTATATTTTAATATTTTCCACAATATCAATGCTAAAACCTCGAAAACCTTGTAAGTTTATCAATATTTTCCAAATTAAAATATATTGTCCTGTCCAAGATGCCAAATTCCAGATATACCTTATACAGCTTAATAGATGGAACAAGAATATCATTAATATAGAATTATTTTAGAATATCCACTATAAATTGTCCAAAATAATTAAAGGGAATATGGGTATTTCCAGAAACTCTGTGAGGAGAATTCCCTTCTATAATTGAAATGAAAATATATACATGAGCTGGCTACGTACCTAAGAGGTGGAGGATATAAAACGGTGGAAAGAAGAACCGAATTTAATACAAAGGGCACCAACTGTTGATAAATGTATAGAAAACAGTTACATTTAACTCCAAAGACTATGGTGAAAACAAATTTAGGGATATAATGATATTCATGTGAGATTTTAATTCAAAAATCGGCAAAGATATATGTGAGTCCATAGTAGTATGATACATACCTAGGGTTGACAACAAGGAAGATCATGAAGGAAATCTATCCAGAACAAAACCTACTAATTATCAATACTGCTAAAGGTAAACGGAACTACAGAAGATAAAAAGAAATATAAAGAATGATAAGAGAACAAAGAAAAGAGACAAACGAAAACATGGATAGACTACTTTCGATCCCTATTTGCTATAGGCGACGATAATGAACCACTAATATGAAATGAAAAAGACAGTCAAGATTTGATTTCACGTATAAAGCGTCTATGTATCTGTTTATACGTATTTCGACCTAATAGGTCTCATCAGAACATCTATTCATAGTCTCAATGTGAAAAATAAATATTTTCTGTCTTTAAGAAGCAACACTAAAATGGCTTCGATATAGACGCAATAGCGACATCTGATAATAAATCCGTAAAATAGTTTCGAAACCAATTCAGATCTCTGCTTTAATCTGAACCTTCTAAAAATTGCAAGGTATAACAGACGTTGATAAAGATGTTAATAGAGACATGGGGAATCTAAAATTTGCATTCCACGACATGTCTCCTCAACGAAGCAGAAATCCTTAACGAATTGGTTTCTTGTACTCATACAGAGTAGATCCGAATAAAATTAACATCTTTATCAACGTCTGTTATACCTTGCAATTTTTAGAAGGTTCAGATTAAAGCAGAAATCTGAATTGGTTTCAAAACTATTTTACGGATTTAGAACCACTAATACTATAGGTGACGACAAACGAAATAATATTGAGGTGGAATAGTTAAAAAAGCATTAAGGAAATTAAAAAATAGAAAATTACCAGGACAGCACAGAATACCGACCGAACTGCTAAAGTACAGAGGATTCTTCTTCTTCCAGTTCCATGACCGTTATCGATCGTTGGATATCATGTTGGCTACCATATTCGCTATCGTGACTTTATTGACAGCAGTTCTAAATAACGATGTAGTTGATTTTCCATACCATTGCCTTAGATTTTTCAGCCATGATATTCTTCTTCTACCAGGACCACGATTACCTTGGATCTTTCCCTGAATGATCAGATGTAAAAGATCATATTTTTCAGGGTGTCTCATAATATGACCGAAGTATTCCAGCTTGCGTTTCTTTATTATATTGACCAGTTGTGTTGTTTCTAACTCTGTCGACCCAGCTTATTTTTAGTAGTCGTCTGTATACCCACATCTCAAAGGCTGTCAAGCGTTTAAGCATAGCCTCAGTTAGGGTCAACGCTTCTATTCCATACAGCAGGACAGGAAAGATGTAGCAAGATATCATACGAACTCTAAGGTCAATGCTAAGATCATGACTGCAAAGTACGTTTCTCATTTTTTACAAAGGCAGCTCGGGCTTGTTCTATTCGGCTTTTAATTTCTGCGGTTAGATCCCAGCTCTCATTGATATTACTGCCGAGATACACGAGTTTCTCTACTCTGTCCAGTGTGGCATCTCCGACTTTTATACCGTCATCATGTATATAATTTTGTTTGCTAACTATCATATATTTAGTTTTCTTAACGTTGAGTTTTAATCCATACTGATCACAAGTCTGTTTTATTTTGTTCATTAGATTTTGAAGGTCTTCTCCGCAATTGGCAAGGACTAAGGTATCGTCGGCATATCTAATATTGTTGACGATTACTCCATTCACAATAATACCTTCGGTTGTCTCCATTAAGGCTTCCTTAAATATTTCCTCTGAATATAAGTTGAAAAGTAAAGGCGACAATATACAGCCTTGTCTCACTCCTCTTTTTATATTGATTTCATCCGACAGTTCTTCTTCAACCTTTATTCTTGCCACTTGATGCCAGTATAGATTTGTAATTATTCGTAGATCTTTATCGTCCAATCCAGCTGTTTCCAATATTTCTAGCATTTTGTTATGTCGGACTTTGTCAAAAGCTTTTTTCAAAATCGATTGCACAAATATACACATTTTGATTTATATCTCTGCATCTCTGTACTAGCACCTGTATACTAAACAAGGCTTTTCTTGTACCCAAGCCACTCCTAAACCCAAATTGAGTATTGCTAATTCTGTCCTCTAACAGCGTATAAATTCTGCTGTGTATTACTCGCAGAAAGATTTTCAAAACGTGACTCATCAGACTTATTGTCCGATAATCACCGCATGTCTTTGGACGATGTTTCTTAGGTATTGTGACAAATGTCGACTTTAACCAATCAGTTGGTAATATCCCAGTGTCATAAATTCTGTTAAAGAGATTACACAGAGCTTTAATTCCATTTTCTCTCAAAAACTTTAGTATTTCAGCACTTACTTCATCGGGGCCAAGTGCTTTTTCCATTTTTTTGCCGTTTGTATTGAACGTCTTACCTCACTTTCTGTTATAGATAGACCTGATATAGCAATCGGTGTATAGTGTTCTAGATTCAACAGAGGATTAGATCTGACCAAACAACTATTAAAACTAATTCAATCTAACAAAACAGAATTTCTTAAGAATAGAGATCAAGCATCCTAATACCTTTTTTCAAAAATGGAGACAAATCGGACCCGGAAAATTGCAGATAAATTTATTTATTAAACACAACACTAAAATTAACAACCAAAGTGATAACAAATAAATTGAATGAAACGGTGATACCTGCAGAAGAACAACAAGGTTTTAGGTCGGGAAGATCATGTATCGACGCTATATTTATACTCAAGCAAATGCAAGAGAAATCAAGAATTCATTAGAATACAACAAAGCGGGCGTATCTATATTTCGTGGACTTTAAGAAGGTTTTTGACCACGTTAAATTAAAGGACGTTATCCAATTATTGTCTCTAAGAAAGATACCTCTAGGAATAATCAAAACGTTCGAAAATATCTAGCAAAACAACACAATAATAGTAAAAGTAGAAGGAGAACTAACCTACCCTATTGACGCTGCCTATGGGATAAGAGAGGGAGATTTCCTGAGTCCTTTCTTGTTCAACCTAATTAAGAATGAAATAACAAAAAAAGTCAAAACTAAAAAAACATACCAAACGGGATAAAAAACTATTCGCTCAAAGTGAAGATTTTACTAAGATGAAAATTGTAGCTGGAAAGTCAAATAATAGAACAAGTGATGAAGTTTTAATATCTGGGCAACATATTATCTATCTACGGAAAGCTCGAAACTGAAGTGAAAGATGAAGTGAATAGAGCAATCAGAGCCGCTGGTTGCCTGAATGAAACAATATGGAAAGGTAAAAATATCGGAAAAGAAACGAAAGGCAGAATTTACAAATCAGTCGTCAGATCAATAATGATGTACGCGGCAGAAACACGACCTGTCACGGAGAGGACAAAAAGGATGTTGGAAACAGCTGATGTTACATGCAAGGTGGAGAATATCAAGAACTGGGTAATAAATAGAAGAGTAGAATGGAACGTTCATATAAGCCGAATGACAGCAAATAGAGTAGTAAAGATGGCAAGAGATGGTTTCCCAATAGGAAGATGATGAGTAGGAAGACCACGAAAACGATGGAACGACAACTTACTGAAGGCACATTGGAAAAGAGAAAGACTTATGTCTACATAAAAGAAAGAAGAAGAAAAATAAGACTAAATTTAAACTAACCAATCAACCTTCAAGCCAAAAAAAAGTTACTGATATGACAAAATTTCACATAATTTCTAGGTTTATAAATGAAAAAATGTATAACGTTAACTTAAACCAATCATATTTAAGTCCAATAAAATACAATTCAGTCAATAAAATCATTAAAAAAGTGCAAAGAAGCTAAAGAAAACTGAATGTCAACTAAATGCTTAGAAATTGAACAACTTCAGGAAAGATACGACACCTTAACTGTAAAAACGACAAACTGGAGAGATGGAAAGAATACATTCAGAGACTTTTTGACGATGATGAGAGACTTTATTCTCCATCATCCACGGATGATAGAATAAATAAAAAAAGTCTAAAAATAACAAAAGAAGAAGCTATTTATGCAATAAAAGCTTCTTCTTCTTCTTCAGATGCAAATCCACTAATGGATGTTAGCGATCACATTTTCCATTAATTCTCTATTTCTTGCAATATGTATCAGAGATTGTATGTCGTTAATCCCTGTCCATTGCCTTATGTTTTAGAGCCAGGACATTTTCTTGCGTCCCTTTCCTCTCTTGCCTTCAATTTTACTATCGATTATAAGTTGGAGGAACTGGTATTTTTCATTTCGCATGATGTGACCTAGATACGCCGTTTTCCTTTTCTTGATGGTTTCGAAAAGTTGGCGTTCTTGGTTTATTCTTTTAAGGACATCTATATTTGTGAAAAATGAAAATTAACGGAGAAGAAACAGATCACATAAAAATACTACGTGGAGTTAGACAGGGATGTATCCTATCGCCGTTGATATTTAATATGTACTCAGAGAAAATTTTTAACGAGGCTCTTTACGGAA